ATTCCTCTTCCTTGTTTCATCAGCTATATACTACAAAGTTCCACACGCCAGCAACATGGATAGGTAAATTCCAGTCTAGGCCACATGCTGGCCTCAAGGAAACACACGGAATTGTGCACAACGAGATCACATCTCTGCTTTCTCTGCGTGCTCAAATCAATGAACACGACGAATTATGATAACCTTCTATGACCACTTTTCCACAATGCGCTCTGATAATCTAATTTCTTCGTCCTTGGAAATATGGGGATCTAGCTTCTGAAGGCTGTTAATAAACGTCCTTGTCTCATCCCGACGATTAAGTTTACAGTATCCATCGACTATGGAATTGTATGTATTCTGGTTTGGTTTACAGCCATGCTTAATCATGTATCGGACAACACCGATGGCCTCCTCAAACATGGAATCAGATGCATAACTTGCAACAAAGGTATTATAAGTGATCACATCTGGGACAAGGCCATAATTGCACATTTCCGAAAATATCCGTGAAGCCTCTTTCATTCGACCTTTTCTACAATAGGCATATATAACAGTGTTATAGGAGATTATATCTGGTTTTATTCCCTTTGCCAGAACTTCCATAGTTCCATTAGAATTTTTTCTGATTCCTCAAAATTTTCAGTGCGGCTATACATATACATCAAACTATTGTAGGTTGTCAAGCTTGGACTATAGCCGCTCTCATTCATGAAGTTCAAGATCTCATTTGTCTTGGAAACCATCTGCCTCCTACCATAAATTGAGAGTATGACATTTAGAGTAGTTATGTCGGGAGGAAATCCTTTCTTCCTCAATTCCAAGAAACCACGTTTCCTCTCCAAAAGGTCACATTTACTATTAACCAAAACAAGGGTCTTTAGTAGAACAGCATGAGATTCGATGATACCAGAGTATATCTCTTCTGCAAGGGCATGCATCCGATCTACCTGCTTCCCATTGGCATAAACATGAAGTAAAGAACAATAAGTTAGCTCATTGGGTTTACAACGACCATCTCTCATTTCAGCCAGTATTTTTCTCGGCTTGCTTCCAAAGCCCTCCCCGTGCCAATGCTGCCAAAACAGCATTATATGTAGAAAGGTCCGGGGTAACTCCAGCTTCCAGCATTCTATTATAAATAGCCATGGCTTGATCAAAAGAACCACATCGACTGTACGCACTGATTAGAGTGTTGAATGTGTCCCTTTCGGGTACAGACCCTGCCCGCTTCATCTCCTTGAATACTCATGACACTTCTGAATCCATAGCATTTTGCCCAAACACTGCCAGTAGTGTATTCCAAGTAACAATATCTGGCGCACCATTGCATGCCTTGATCTCATCGAAAATCTTCATCATCTCGGTAAACTTTCCACGGTTGCCATGCATCTTAATTAGAGCGTTGAAAGTACAAATATTTGGCTTGCAGCCAGCAGTTCTCATCTCCTCAAAAATCGCCATTGCGGACTCATCTTTTCCAGCCTTCTCAAATCCTGACAAAAGAGTTACTATTTTTATTGACATATTTTACATGTTTGCCTGCCCTCATCCAAGCCCGGAGTACAAGCCCACTAGGAGGCCAAACCCAATAACTCATAACTCAGAGCCAACTACAATATTACAAGGAACCCAAGTAAAACCCAGTACCAGGACCCAAAACCCGACATTGGAGCCCGACCCAATTCATACCCGACCGGCCCAACTAAACCCTAGCTCTAAGGTTTCCTCTTCTTTGCTCCAGCGCCGCCTTACTCCTGGCCATTAGATCTGGACCCATCCAATGGTCCAGATCGCACAGAGCCTAGGGTTTCACCCTAAATGTATCAACAGCCAGACACGCCGCCAGTGATTCTTCAGCTCCCAATGACGCATGAGTCGTCGCTGAGCCACTGAGCTGCCGCCGAATATTCCACTATCTCATGTTGTCATCAACAGTGACCGATATCTGCCGAAAATCATATCAACAGTGAATAAATTGACAACAAATTAAAAATAATAATAATAAGCATATCCAACAAAATCCCGATGAAATCGGGTTGTGGCAGAGGATCAAAATCCATCAGCAGCAAGCAAAAATCAAAGGCTATTAAATAAAAAGAGGAGACATCCATCAAAAAGGGGAGGATCCAGGATAAAAAAAAATACAAGAGAGAGAGAGAGTTTTCAGAAAAAAGAAAGAAAGCTAAATGCAAAGAAACCAACCAAAGAAAAAAGAGAGAAAAAGGAACAAAGGATAGAAAGTTCTTACCTTTTGTTCGGCCGTGGAAGCTCGAGGGTTATCGATTTCTTTGGTTTCGATAGGTAAACCCTCTGGATCTAGGGTGATGGGGTATTTTTTAGGTTAGATGGAGGATGTTTTCGGGTTGTGGGTGAGAGGAGGGATAGTTTGGAGTCGGTTGCACCCTCCGGCCGCCGTGAGCTCTGCCGGCAGCATCCATTGTTTTCTTCCCCGACGAGGGAAGTTGAGAGAGTTCTCAACTCTCTCTCTCTTCATGTCTAAAAAAGGAAACAAAATAAAGGGGAAGTGAGGATTGAACCCGATTTTGGGGTTTAAATACATTGAACAAAACAACATCGTTTTGTTCATAGAGTTTCAACGTGTTTTGGGGTTGGGATAATAGCATATTTAGTCCTTGACTTTTGTATATCTCACCCATATTTTTATTTTTCTATGGGCTAATAGCATCCTAGGTCACTGCTCCTTTGTAATCTTGTTGTTTAACCATTTAATGAAAATTTTCATTATTCCTTTTCGAGCCCTTACCTTTTATTACTTACATTTAAGTCACTAGTCTGTTTATTTTACCATGTTTGTGTATGTTTGACTTTGGTCACATTTTTTTAAATGTTACATTTTAGTCGCTAATTTTAGATGTTGTATATTTTTCTTTAATATTCGAATTTGGCTATTGCATTTGTAAACATTTTTAATTTTAGTCACTGTGTTACATATGGTTTAATTATTGTTTAGTCTTTTATGTTTATATTTATTTCATTTTAGTCCTAAGTATTATTTATGGGTTATTTTCATTTTTAGTACATGTGCGGTTTAATGTTTGTGATTTTGGCTATGGTTTATTTGAAATTACTGTTTAGCCCTTTAACTTTTTGTTTTTGCTATTTTTTGTTCTTTAACTTTATGTTTTTACTATTTTAATCCTTTAAGTTTCTGTTTTTGTTGTTTTAGTCCTATAAATTTTTCTTTTTTCTATTTAGTCTATTATTTTACTAAGCATGTCTATTTTTTATTCCTGTCAAGTTTGTAATTGTACATTTTAGTACAAATTTGTAACTTTGTTTTTATTTATTGTTATAATTTCATGCATGCTTGTATATAAATTATGTAGTTGTTGAAAGCTTTCTTTGTATGCACTTTTATTTTCATCGTGTTTTTTTATAATTCATCATTGTTTAATACACGAAAATGAAAAAGTTTCAATGTGAGAAATCTACGAAGATATCTCATAACTAAAGGGAAGGTATCTTTTCGAGAATTTTTCGCATAAATGTTGTTTTATATTCGATAATTTTATTTGTTCCACGTTTATTTATTTCGAGTATTTTTCATCGCTTTTCGTTTTCATTTTTTTATTTTATTGTATTTTATTTTATCTTGGCGAAATTTGTGAAATAATGTTTTTATGAGAGGAATCTATGGGAAAGTCTCCTAACTACAAAGGAAGTGTTTTCCCAAAGATTGTTCACACTTTTTAAATAAATTCGAATGAATAATAGGATCGTAATATAAATATATTTTCAAGTTTGTAATTCCCAATATTTAAACAACATATAATCGTATAGGTATCAAGATTTGGGCGTTGTGGGGGTGCTCAACCTTCCCCACACGTAACCGCTCCTGAACTCTTAAAAACGAATCTTTGCTAAAATGCATATCATTTTTTTCGTTTAGGGTTTCTAACCTACCCAACTTAAAGGTTGGTGGTGACTCCAAATCAAACTGTTTTCCAAATCATATTTCATCACCTTCCCCGAAACTAATATTTTAAGTCTAACGAATCCCTCGGGGAGACGTTATGACACTGTATCTTCAAGTCCATTGTTTCCCGCAATAGACCATCCCTAGCATAAGCAGAAATCAATGAATTATAAGTCACAATGCTAGGGGTACACCCATTAATCTCCATCTCTTTTAAAACCTCCATAGCTTAGGTCGCCGAGACTTTCCATAAACATCCAACAATGCATTGTAAGTAACATTATCCGGCATAAAACCAGCCGATTTCATTTTATTGAAAATCAAAGCCGCTTCCTCATGCAAAGAACCTCGACGACAGCAACTTATAAGTGTATTATATGTATAAGCATCGGGAGCAACTCCACTCTTCATCCCATCGAAAAGAGCCATGACCGTACTCCAAGGCATGCCCATTTTACCAACACATTCAAAATCACATTACAAGTAATCAAAGTAGGTTTGCATCCCTCTTCTTCCATTTTCTTGAAAACCATCATTGCTTCCCAATACCTCCCGCTGCCGGCATAAGCGGTTATCAAAGAAGTATAAGCATACACATCAAGACTAAACCCTTCTTTGTGCAAGCCATTAAGCAAATTGGCAGCCACAGAAACCCTCCCCTCTTTCCCTAACATACTAATAATAACAGCAACAACCGAACTATTCAGGACCAACTCACAGTCTTTTCTAGCCTTGAAAGTGGATTCCGGTCAATATTTTTAACCTTTGCCTTCAATCATCTTTTGAAATATTTGATTCAGTAATTAACGGAAGTTTACTGTATTATGATCTTCCATGTTGACAAGATGGACCAAAAGGATCCATGGATCTTTCTTTCATCGAAAATTTTAAATTCTCGTATAAATTCTTTTATATTTTTTTAATAATATGTTTCCATCCCTTCAAATTTTATAACTTACATAAAATCTGATTTGGCAGTTTGGCGATATAGATCAACAAAACATAGCCTATTTGTTACTGATTGCCAACAGATGGCTAGTGCAAAATTCAAGGATCTTAGAAAGATTTAATAACATGCATAAACTAAGAGAGGAGCTAATACTATTTGCATAAAACAGTCTCTACATATTAGGAAATCCAGAAACAGAGCCCTTCACAAGGTACTTCTATTTGCAAATCTAAAAAGGCACAAAGGCACGGTTTTCTTCTGTATGTTCAACGAAAAGATAGGCTCCATAAACAGCTTATTTCCTATTTTGCAAACCGACTTACTGTCCCTCTCTCTCTCTAGGATTCATGATCGATCAAAGAAAGTGAGGATTAATCAACCTGGCAATTTCAAGAAATTCAACTTGATCTTTGTCTGCAAATATCTTCTTCAGCTTTTCATCACAAATTATAACCCTCTTGTTATTAGGGTCCTAGAGAAATCGCAAGAAGAACCAAGTCAATTACAGGATGTAAGGTTCGATAAGAACAAACCTAGCTGCCATTCGCGAAACGTTCGATTCACAACCAAAGTCACATACATCAATCACAAGTCACATACATCAATCACAAGTCACAATATTACCTTGTAGGAATCAGCTCAACTAAAAATAAAAAAGTGCACACACATGTATATGAGTGAGTGAAACATTTCTTGAGCATGAGAAAAAAAACTTTGAGCCAGTAATAATAAGAATGCAGAGCCACATACAAATACTTGCACAAAGGTCATTATGATGAACACCCAAAAGGCAGGAAACAACATTAAACTTGTCTAGGAATTGGTTTTCTAGGCTCCAAAACATCTGTTTTATCCGAGAAGACGAACTGCCGGTAAGGCGACAGCCCACATAACAATGATAACCAGCAATAAGACTCTTAAGCTAAAGAACTTATCAATATAGCTCACAACAAAGAAAGACCACAGTGCATATAATCTAGAAAACACACCTTGTTGATAAACAAATACATAGTTAACAAACACATCTAAATTTCTAATATAATTTTCTAAGTTCGCACACCTGACATAAAATTATGAGTCTGTCCATGATAATGTACGAACAAAAGAAACTACACCTAGCTATGCTCATCAACTTCAAATGTATAAACCCATCTTCAAAAACGCACAGTTCCAAATTCCCAAATGACTAAGGCAGTTATTTGAAAACCGTCCAAATGAAAGTAAGTTATTTGAAAACCGTCCAAATGAAAGTAAGAACCCAATAGAACACTCTCAGTCACTTAGTAATCAGCCAACCAGCAGCTTCATACAAAGAAAGACTGTTTTATCCATAAGACAAAGCCTAAATCTGAGCACCATATGTTTATTTATCTATGTACCAAACAAAGCTAAAATATGCATTCACAAATACCAGAAATAGAAAATTCAAAACCCAATAAAAACCGCCAAACCCCATACACATTTCACAACGAACAAGCACAACCATTTCCAATAAAAAGAAACCCGCAGATATATCTTTAAAGGGGCAAAACGAAATAGATAAAGGACCTGGAGATTGTGCTCTTTGATATAAGCCCAAATCCTCTTAAGAACTTCAGTTCGAGGAATTTCGGGGACGCCGACGAGAGCCTGCATCTCACGCGACACACGGCGGGGCTTCATGATGCCACGTGGCTTCCGGGAACCGGTTTCGGTCTTTGAAGCCGTGGCTTGAGTCACGGTTCGTACCATGCGCACGTTAGTTGGATGAAGAAGACGGACAGAAAAAGAAGAGGATTTGCCTACGAATGACGCCGTTTGTGATGAGATAAAAGTCGAGAAAGTGGCGGAAGAGACTGCCATTTTTACTTTTCCTCAGTTTGCTGGGAAGAAAGTGAAGAGAGGAGGGATTTGTGGTGTCCTCTTTGTTTCTGGAATTTATTTATTTATTTATTTTGAGAATAAAACGAGAAAGGCATAGCGGTTCCTTTTAGGTCTAATTATCGATTTAATCCTTATATTTGGATGTTGAGAATGTAGTCCTTTCATTTTAATTTATCAAAATTTGATTCCCATATTTTGTGAAAACAGAGAAATTAATCCATTTATTGATAAATATATGAAATTTAATTATCATTTTTTTTATTTTTTGTGCATACATTGCTTAACCTCTTATATTTAAATTATTAAATTGTTCATTTTTAGGTTATTGATTTAGACGTAAGGATGTTTATTGTTTGGTTAAAACTAAATTAATTGATCGAACTAATTAAATTAAGAGAAAATAACCTCAGTGATCAAAAATCCCAGATAATATACGATTTTGATCAACTTTTTTTGGATTTACGAAAATGACCAACAAAATCGCAATGCGATCTCTAATTCGCATTGTGATCTCCACTATCGCAAATTCGCGTTGCATTTCGCGTTGCGATAATTGAAAATCGCGTTGCGGTTTTCCAGTTCGCGTTGCGATAGTCTACAGTTGTCGTTGCGATAGTCTACAGTTATCGTTGCGATTTTCCAAATTCGTTGCGAAAATTCGTTGTGATAGTTAAAAAAAAGATTTTGTTTCTTAAGAATTTTCTCTAAAAATATAGTATCCGCACGGACGTGTTGAAGACACGTATTACCAACGACCACGACCACGACCCGACCCGAGACGAGACGGACGGCGGCGGCGGCGCGCGAGAGTCCCCCTTGTTCTCTATCACTCAACAAGGAAGTGGGAAAGCCAAGCCTTAAATACCATTCTCAATAGTGTTTCCAATACTATGTGGGATTGAGCATTACCAACACTTGTTTCCAATACAATGTGATTATTCAGGAATCAATTAACAATCATGCACCTTAAAACAACTGAATCAGCAACCAATTGCATTAGTATTATACGATTAAATATGTCATAATTAAAAGTCAATCTACAATCAATCGCGATTATTGTAATTTTAAGCAAAACATTCAAAAATAATATCACTATTTAAGGCTCAATCCCACATAGTATTGGGAACAAGTGTTGGTAATGCTCAAATCCCACATAGTATTGGAAACACTATTGGGAATGGTATTTAAGGCTTGGCTTTCACACTTTCTTGTTGAGTGATAGAGAACAAGGGGGACTCTCGCGCGCCGCCGCCGCCGTCCGTCCGTCTCGGGTCGTGGTCGTGGTCGTGGTCGTGGTCGTGGTCGTGGTCGTGGTAATACGTGTCTTCGACACGTCCGCGCAGATACTATCATTTTAGAGAAAATTCTTAAGAAACAAAATCTTTTTTTTAACTATCGCAACGAATTTGGAAAATCGCAACGACAACTGTAGACTATCGCAACGACATTGTACACTATCGCAACGACATTGTACACTATCGCAACGCGAAATGGAAAATTAAACGTGATTTTCAACTATAGCAACGCGAAATGGAAAATCGCGTTGCGAAATGGAAAATCACAACGCGATATTCAACTATCGCAACGCGAAATGGAAAATCGCAATGCGATTTTCAACTATCGCAACGCGAAATGGAAAATCGCAACGCGATTTTCAACTATCGCAACGCGATTTCTAACTATCGCAACGCGAATTTGCGATAGTGGAGATCGCAATGCGAATTAGAGATCGCATTGCGATTTTGTTGGTCATTTTCGCAAATCCAAAAAAAGTTGGTCAAAATCGTATATTATCTGGGATTTTTGGTCACTGAAGTTATTTTCTCTTAGATTAATCGATTGGTCATTAAGGATTTGGTTGATGAGTGTTTAATATTTTTAAAGTTTGGCTAATATTTAGTTCAATTTAAAATTAGTTAATTAATTAAATTAATAAAAAAAATTGATATATAATTTTATATTAATTTTAAGCTCAAATCTTTTAATGACCCGTGATATTTAAAACCTAACTTTTATATTTTAACCTCAATATTAAGTTTAATTCAAAAGAGAAAAATAAAGAATATATGGAAAACCTAATTTTTTATAATTAAAATTATAAAAAAATCGATTAATTAACCGAATTTTGTTCGGTTCGGTTAATATTTTTTAAAAAAGTTCATTCTAGTTTGCAAAATTTTGATTAATTAAGTTAATAAAAATTTGATTTATTCTGTGACCGAATTAACCATTTGAACATCTATACTTATTTTTATAGAATATAGGGACCCATTTTTGGAATTATACATTTTTTATGAATTTTGGTTTATTTTCAAAATATTTTGATTGTTTTTACATTTTTATATAGGGACCCATAAGGTCACAACAACACATATTTTGATATTGTAGGAAACCAAATTTGTCATTTAGATGAATGTGGTTGATCCCATGTAGTATCTTAACCTAAGCAAATGACTAATGAGGAAGCTTTTCATTATTTTGCTTCTAATATTATAATTTGTAAATGGAAAAGTTAAAAGGGATCCCACAGAAGAAAAAGGGTGTCGGAGTCTCATCCAAAACAGGTAAATTGAAATGGAACTTTACTCGAAAACAACCCTTGCAACACAGATCCAATGTCACAAACACTCTCATCATTCTCATCTCATGTCTTTTTAGCTTTTCCTCTTCACCGACAGTAACCTCAGTTGCTACGAAATTCAATTCATCTTATGGAAAGAAATGTATGGCCCAACAGAAGGAGGCTAACCGGTTTACATCACTTTATATCCGGAGATAATGATCGTTGAACCCACAGGTCCACCACCTCCTCGGCCCCTTCCTTTCTAAGCTGCTTTTGGACCGGTTTCATTTTTTTATTTTGAAGATCGAGATTCATTGATACTAAGATTTAGATTTCAAAATGATTCAATTAGTTTCTTGTTTGGGTTTTTGTCAAAATTGATTTTCCTCGCTTTATTTCACTAATAAATGAAACCAAATAAGATCGGACGTTCCGTCGACCAAACCAATGGGAGTGATTGCGACAAACTACATTGAAAGGCGCAAACATAGCAAACATGGGGATTGTTGTTTAATACATGAAGCATTGCCATAACTTGGCATACAAATTACATTTGCCGGTTAACCATGAAATGATATCCACCTCAACATATCTACATTTGATGGAGGCCCACTATCATTAATCTCTTAAATAATATTGTTATTATTTTAAAAAAAATTATTCAACATCTAACAATATATAAATTTATTTACATAAATAAATACATTTGCCAATTAACCATGAAATGATATTCGTCTAACATTATGGGTTTGTTTGTTTCACGAAAAACGTTTTTCATATTTTTTGGTGTTTGGCTCACGGAAAACATGTTAGTTGATGTAAAACAATTTCCTAGTCAACAAAATTCTCTTTGTATTTTTCTGAAATATGATTTACGGTCTGATTTTTCGTAAGTCATTTTTTGAACTTTTCACTTCAAAGCATAAATACTCAAAATAATATTATTTTATGTATTTAATGTTGATATAATATTTTAATATCATTTTAATAAAAATGTTAATTATTAAAATATTTAAAATATATTAATTAATATTTTTAATATTATAATAATATATTTAGTTATATTATAATAATATATGATATTATATTTTTATTTTAATAATATATAATAATGTATAAATAAATTTATTTTTTAGTTTTATATCTTGTTTATTTTTTTCCTAATTATAATAATGTATATTTTTTATTTTAAATATTTTTTTTTGAATTAATCACTTGTTTCCGATCTATTGACCGACTAATTTAGATCGGGTACTGCAGAGGCGACAACGACCCTCCCAACCTAATTTTCTCCATTCGCAAACACCATGATTTGAATATCTGACTTTGCTGAAGGGACCTAGTGTCTCATCGCACAAGACCGACTGGTTGTTGGTCAGAAAATGTTATTTAATTATTAATAACGAATAATAATATTTATGTATTTAATATAAATATTATAATATTTTAGTAAAAATATTTCAAATGTTTTTATTAATAATTTAAAAAACATAATATAATTTTTTTTTGTAATAGAATATACAATTTTTAATATTTTTATTTATAAATTTGTAGAAATAATATTTTAATGATAATATTGACATAACATAATATTGAATAATTATTATATATTTTATTAATAATATTATTTTTATAATAAATATCTTTTTATATTTTATATTTATAATAAATAATTTTTAAAAAATTATCAATTAACGAAAAATGATTTATACAACATCTCTCAAACATTATAAAATATTTTCTAGAAAATATAATTATTTTATGGAAAAAATTTAGAAAAAATTTAGAGTAAAAACAAATTAACCTATACTGTATTTTAAAATATTTAGTTTCCTAGAAAATTTCTATTATGTGTTGGATGATGATGAAGATGTATGCTTGAACTATATGTACATTGCCTTCTATTCCCTCTCTCTCACACTCGCCCTTCATCCTTCCTCCTTCCTCCTTCCTCCTTTCCTCTCTCTCAATTCTTAGGGGTCGTGGCGTAGTTTAAGCAGAGAGGGTGCGCAGGAAAAACTTTTCAACATTGTTTCAACATGATTCATTATAATAGAACTCTGTTTATATCTGCTTTGCTTTGCATTGCGGTTGCGTCGGTTTTGGGTCAAGATCCTAGTAATTCTCCTACGTCCACGCCGGCGCCTCCCACGCCACCGGCTTCCACTCCTCCTCCCACTACTCAGCCACCGTCTACGCCGACCACCACTCCACCACCGGCTTCTTCACCTCCTCCCACTTCATCGCCGGCCCCAGTGACATCTTCTCCACCCCCAGTTTCAACCCCTCCACCTAGCTCTCCTCCTCCAGCCACTCCTCCGCCTGCTTCTCCCCCTCCCGCCACCCCACCACCTTCTTCTCCCCCACCAGCATCTCCCCCTCCCGCTACTCCACCACCTGCAACTCCTCCTCCAGCTACCCCACCGCCTGCTCCCTTGGCTTCTCCTCCGGCAACAGTCCCGGTTACGTCTCCAGCTACGTCTCCAGTACAAACACCATTGACCTCCCCACCAGCTCCTCCAACTGAGGCCCCTGCACCTACCCTTGGCGGCGCTTTTTCGCCAGGTCCATCGGGAACTGACACGGTACATTTTCTCTTATTCTTTCACATACCTTTATTTCTCCATTTACAATCACCCAGTCATTATATTATGCGTCCATTTTAGTAGTACTTAATTTAACACAAAAATAGACCGGTGAAAAAGAATTATCATTTTTTTTTAAGATTCTAAAATCGAACATAAAAAATATTAATGAAGTGATAGTTTAATATTAAAATATATATTAATTTTTATTTAATTCAGATTAATTAAAAGAAAGTAATCAAGACAAAATTAGGTAAATTCCATATTTGACCCCTCCATAAAAATATGGTAGTTCAATTGAAGTCCTTTTTAATATAAAAAGATTTAGCTTTCAGCCCTTCAAAATTTAAATTTTATTTATACTCTGAGATACAAATGGTTGAGAGAGGTTTTACCTTAAATGTTCCGAACTTTCCAATAATACAACCTCGTATGATGTATTAAATTTTAATTCCAAATATGACTGAACTCTAATTTGACCTAATTTTTTAATGGAACATGTGACATTAAGGGTGAATTTGACACAACTTTTGAGAAGTAATTTTTGAAGGTGCGATGGAAAAAAACTTTTAAAATTGAATTTTAAAAATATAATTTAAAATTTTAATTATTTGAGATTATTGTTAGAAAATGAATTAAAAAAAATAAGATGTTCATTATAGACATTATATTGTAAATTAAAAATTTAGAATTTAAATCATATTTACACTTATTAATACTGTGATATATAAAATTACCAATTTAACCAATAATCATTTGGTCTATTGAGATGAGACACTAGATCCCTTAAGTAAGTTCAATAGTTCGAATCCTGATAATTGCGAATGGAGCAAACTGGATTGAGAGGGTCGTCTTTGCCTCTGCAATACCCGATTTAGATTCGCGGATTAATAGATCAAATGCATGTAGTTATACAAAAAAAATTTATCAACTCAAACTATAATAAAAATATAAAATTATTTTAAGATAACTCATTAATAATATTTTTATAAATCAAATATTTTATTAAAAAATATTATCAATATTTTTGAACACGTGGATGTAAAATTATTACGAAATAATAATTTAAATACTTGTTTTGACAAAAAGAATATTTAAAAAATACATTAGTGCTTGTAAATTAAAGTGAATTTTATTTACTCTTAAGTAATTAAAATAAATTATTAAGTAATAAATTATTTTTTAAGAATGCTAATATTAGATTATTAAAATAGAATGTAGACACATAATTGAGTGGAGACTATGTATTAGTAAAGGCAAAATTATAATTTGTTTTCAAACGTAAAGTTGAAAATGAAAAAAACTATAAATCTTAGGTTTTGCAGTTCGTTTGAAACCACCTTTTTCACTATATATTTTTTTATTTTTACCTGTTTGATATTAATTTTACGGTCAAAATATATTTTTAACTTAAAGTACGTTTAAAAATTCACACTAAATAGAGGCCTAAATCTCGTTTATTTTCAACTTTTGAAAATTGCAGAGTGGAGGAGGGCAAATGCAAAAGATGGTGGGGAGCTTGGTGTTGGGATGGGCTACCCTGGGTTTGATGGTTTGACACTTTTTGGTGTCGTAGCTTATGCCTTATTCATTTGCTTAAGTCTCTTATGGGACATTCTACTATGCTTACTTGACCCTAAGTTACATTATCATATGTGTATGTATACCCACATATCATTCGGTTGTATTCTTTGAGCCATTATTTTCCCTTTTTCATTTATATATATATATATATACTGAAAGAGATTCATATTATATTTTATATTTTACCAGGTCAATTTATAATAAGAAACATAGATTACATTGATAAGGTTTCAATCAACATATTTTAAAAATAAAAATTATTATTGGTCTAGTGGGATGATGTACTAGATTCCTTAAGTAATGTCAGGAGTTTAAATCTTGACATTTACGAATGGAACAAACTGGGTTGGAAGAGTTTCCCTCATCTCTATTGTAACACCCATCTCCCGTATACCTTTTCGTACACGAGATATAGATGTCACATTACTTTTAAAAACAATTCCTCATTTGAAAACCCGTAAAATTATGTTTCTTTTTATAAAACATTTGAATTTACTAATAATAAAACTGATATTACTTAAATAGATAAACAAAAAGAAATGTTCAATTACTTAACTGTTTTATGTCATGTTGAATTCAATGCTTTTCAAAACATTTTTATTAAATCTATTACATGCCAACTAAAATATATTAAAAGTAGACATGAATGTCATACTGTTACTGGCGAGACGACACTTGCTTTGATGTCCGATGATCTCCTTACTCCTCTGATATTTTAACCTAAACATGGAATAAACACACGTTAAGTATTTACTTAGTGAGGCAAGAATAATAGTACAATGAAATCATCATATAATTATTTCATATTGATAAAATACCAATTCATTATTTCCAAGTTAATATCATTTCGTTACGATGCACACGTAGTGCCTATACGGTCATTCATAAACATATTATGAATTCCGTGAATTGCACACTTAGTGCTGAAATGGTTATTCATCAACATATGATGAATTCCGTGAATTGCACACTTAGTGCCGAAACGGTATTCATCAGCATATGATGAATTCCGTGAATTGCACACTTAGTGCCGAAACGGTTATTCATCAACATATGATGAATTCTGTGAATTGCACACTTAGTGCTGAAACGGTTATTCATCAACATATGATGAATTCCATGAGTTGCGCACTTAGTGCCTATTTGGTAATCACCACACAAATATTAAGAAATCATACATCTATGGCCATTATAACATATAGGTACATAATAAATGCACTCACCTGGCCTGCCTCGCTGTTGTACCCAAAAACACAAAGCTGATTACTCCGATACTTTGCCTTTCGTTTTGCTTGACTCGGGAGCTTGATTTCGATATACTCAAGCATCCATTAAAGATACGTACAATATAAATTGTTAGTATATTTCCTAACAATTGTACTTAAACAATACTCAAGAGTACATATTATTAAATTTTCTATAACAATATCAGCCTATCTTAAAGTTTCTGGCTCCATAGTATCGATACCTCTACCATGGTATCGATACTACTATACTATGGTACCAATACTTTATTATGACATCGATACCATTTTTTCATTCTGTTAACAATGGTATCGATACCTTCCTCATAGTATCGATACCTCCCTTTTGGTATCGATACTACTTGCATCAGTATCGATACTGATCAGTTGATCCTCCAATTTTAAGCCTATAGTATCAGTACTGTTCTATCAGTACCGATACCTTTACCCATATTTTCCATTTTTCAGCCCGATTCTTACCCAAATTTTTGTTCAAATTTCCTTATGTTTACACCCCACAATACTATTAAACTCTTCCTTACTTATCCCTACTAACTTTCCTTCATTTAACTTCTTAAAACATCTAAAATCTCCCAAAAACATTTCAAATCTAAGAATCACACCACTTTTTCTAACTTGTTTTTAAACTCATCCAATGCTTATAATATCTTATTTACATATTTGACAAGTCAAATATACTAACAAACATCAGTAAAAACTCATATTCTAACATAACACTCAAAAACCCATTTTCTTCGATCTCAAATATCTCATCTATTGAGTTAATCGATCGACAAAATAGCCAAGAGGGGGTGAATTGACAATTAAAATTTTGGTGGAAGCTTTTGCATAAATAGAAAATATTTGTACAACGATTTAGAGTGGTTCAACTTTCTCAACCAAAGTTTTACGTCCACTACCTTAGCTATCCACACTAAGGATTTTCCAACAAATTCACTAATTTTTTCTTTCTTTTGAGGACAAAGAGTAACCCTACAACTCCCTCAAGAATTATACCCCAAATTCTTGAGAACACTCTCTCCCAAAGAGAAATACACAAATTTGCAAACTTACAGAAAAACCTCACAAGGCAATATGTTTGCACAATTCTAGAACAAAGAAAGAACACTAAAAAATGAATACAATTTAGCACAATAAGTGTTCTTGAAAGAAAAATGAAAATTTAATGAAAAATTGGCTTGAAATGCTCAAACTTGAGGTTTGATGCTTTCTCTTTGTTTCTCTAGCTTATCTTCTTAATTGTTGTTGATTAATGGCTCCTAAGCTTGTTTAAATACAGCTTGGATCACTTCTGAACGTTGGGGATCATTGGTGAAGTCAATAGAGTCATTATTGTGTAATTATCATTTAAAAATGTGGTGGGAGCGTGGGGTGCATCGATGCATAATCAAGGTGTATCGGTACACTATGTGTAAAATTCAAATATTTCGACCGTTATAAGACTTAGTGCATCGGTACACTAGAGGTGCATCGGTACACTAATTACATTCGATGTTTCAAAGAGCCAGGAGTGCATCGATGCATGGTCTGTGTATCGGTACACAAAATGCATTCGATGTTTCAAAATATTCAAGAGTGTATCGATGCATGACTTGTGCATCGGTACACAAAATGCATTCGAAATAGGTGTGCATCAATGCATTAATGTAGTGCATCGGTACATCACTTTGTAAATTTGATTTTTGGCTTGATTTTGGTTTGAAATACTTTGTAAAATTGTTTTAAAAAATATTTTAAGTTTAAAACACAATTTTACACTTTAGTAAGGAATGAAATTGATCTTTGAAAAACTTGGAGTAATATTTTGATATTCAAGTAATTGAATCGAATATACTTTAAAAATGATTTATAAAATCTTAAAATTCATTTATACTTAATTTATTATATCTAAACATCAAAATGTTTTCAACAATCTCCCCCTTTTTAATATAACAAAACATTTGAGTAATTTTAAGATTTTATTTGAAAAATATTTTTGAAAAACAATTTTGTAAAATTACTCCCCCTTACTATAACACATTTTCTTCCCCTTTTTTAAATCAAAAAGACTCTATAAACGTTTTTAAACAAGGTTTTTGAAAACTTTTCCAATTGATATTTATAAATTTAAAGCTTAAGCTGCTAAGATCACAAGTAAGAGAAAGGTTAGCCATTAGTTCCATAATTCAATATTCATAAACAATGTGTAATGATAAATTGGTCATATTGCAACTAATATGTAAAAGATGCAAAAACTAATAAACATTAAGCTCAAATTGAAAATTCAAACCGAACCAAATATATATAAGCATTTAAGTTCAACCATATAATTCAAACATCCAAATCATCAAATTCAAACAATCAAACATAACAATCCAAAAACATCAAAATGCTTTAACAATGGATTCTAGATCCAAGAAAACTAAAGCAAGATAGGTCTAGTCATCCAAATGAGGATCGGGAGGAGGGTGAGGATAATGTGCTCGCATCTCGAGTGTAAGCGCATCTAAACGTTCGTTCATCTCCCATTATTGAGTCCCCAAAACAGTTAGATGAGACTCTATGGATGCGAATCTTAGATCAAATGACTCCAAAAACGATTGAAAATATGGAGGCATTTGATCCTCTTGCTGTGCCGGCTCGTCCTCGGGTGCTTCATCGTCAGTATCGTCAATATCTTGCATAAGTTATTGAAGCACTGGATCATCGTCTACTATCGGAGGAGGTGGAGGTAGAGCTCATGAAGAACTTGCTCCTGGTGTTTTCTCAAAGGTTCGATTTCCTTATCCTTTTTCCATCCCGATTTCTTTAAGGACATGAGATTGATTTGGTTCTGAAGTGGGATGGGAATATCAACCGAAACCTTGAGCCCTAGTTTGATAAACATATTAGAAAGAAGGCAACCGTAAACTAAAGTTTCTACATTTTTGGATGGGATAACGTTTACGGTATCTACTAGCTCACCAAAAATAATCTGTGGCAGATTTATTTTCTTGTTATGTTAGATACAATGTATCCACCATAAATCTATGACCCTAAGAGAGGAGTACCTTCCTCCGGATGGTCTAAACCACCAAGAGATCATTAAATGAGGGAATCGCTCGTGATGAGTTCGTATGGTACTTACACTACCCTTAGATTGATATGGTGTAGCCACAATGTCTCTTTCATTATCTATACCGTCATTGTCTAAACCAAAGGCATTAGCTATTGTGTTCGAATTGATATAAATAACTTCACCTAATAGATAGGATCGAATACCTATAGTTTCAGTTCTTCGCTCGTTTTGGACACAAACTGCATTAGAGTAGAAAATGCGGACTAATTGGTGATAGAAAATGGGCTTAATTTGACATAATTTATCAAACTTCCAGGAACGAAGGATAGGAAGATATTCGAAGTTCATATCCACCATTGCTTGAATGTAAGTGAGACGTTCTTCCCGAATTTTGTATGATTGGAAAGAATTAATGAACCTATGATATAATTCATCTCGACGATGACTGTATTAGTTGAAGCAATAGTTAAGAATGGTTAATTCGGGTTCGTTTGGATTTTGTGGTGGAAGAGGAATGGGAGGTCGGTTTTGACTTGAACGACTCGACGATGACCTAGGGCGTTTAGGATTAGACATGGTTTAAGAAATCGAAATAGGATAGATACCTGCAATTTTGAAACACATGTATGCAATATAATCAATCCCAAAACTCAATTGAGTCTGCAATATTCA